AATGGGACTGACATCAGGGTTGGAGTGAGACTGAGAAAAATTGGATAAATTATGTATACTGCATTGAAACAGGTGAGGGAGAGAAATTTTGATTTATGATTTGGTATTATGGTTATGACAGAAGTCCCGAATGAAGGTTGCATAGTGGATGGGATGGGAGGGGGGAATTCTATACCAATGAAATAATTTTTCTTTTACTTTTCAAAGAGAAAAGTGAACTGGGGGAGGGGTGGGCAGGGAGAAAAATGCAATAATGAATGTAAGGAAATCCAGAATCTCTATAAACATTCATTAGAATTAATTTTAAAAAAAGAGAGACAGAAAAAAATAAAAGAACATAGCATCAGAATTGAAGAAGACTCATTAACAGCTTGTGATATGCAGATGACACACTTTGTTTGCAGAAAGCCAAGAGTAGTTGAAGCACTTAACTGATTAAAATAAAAATGAATGTATGAATTTTATACATGAACATCAGAAAAACAGAAATCTTTACAACTTGGCCAATAAGCAGCGTTATGATAAACAGAGAAAATATTAAGTTGTCAAGGATTTCCTCTTACTTGGGTCTGTACTTAATACCCATGGAAATTGTTGCTTCTGGTGGTGGTGTTAGGTGCTGTCAAGTAGACTAGAACTTATGGCAACCCTATGAACAACAAATCCCACACCATCATTACAGACTCTCTCATGCTCAAGTCCATTATTATATACTGTGTCGGTCTGTCTCATTGAAAGTGTTTCTTTCTTTCACTGACCCTCTACCTTTCCCAGCATGATGTTTTTCTCTGAAGATATGCATGCACTCTTGAAACATACCCAAAGTAGGTGAGACAAAATTTCACCATTCTTGCCTATAAGGAGCAACCTGATTGCACTACTTCTAAGACAAATTTGTTTGTTCTTTTGTTAGTCCATGATACATCCCAATACTTTTATCCAACACCACAATTCAAAGGCATAAATTTCTCTTTGATCTTCCTTACTTACTGTCCAACCTGCAGATCTATAGGAAGTAATTGAAAAGATCATATATTTGGTCATATGTGCCATAGTCTTTAAACTGGCATCATTGACATTTTGAACTTTGGAGCAGATTTTCCCAGTGCTGGACATCTTTTTATTTCTTGACTGTTGCTTCCATAGGTGTTGATTGTAGGTCCAAATAAAACTAAAGCACTGATAATTTCAGTCTTTTCTCCATCACGGAGTCTATTGGTCCAGTGCTGAGGATTTTTGTTTTTGTGATGTTCACATGTAATCTATATTCAAGTCTGCAATCTTTGAGTTTTAGTAAATGCTTCAATCCTTCATTTTCTGCAAGCAAGGCTGTCACTTGCATAATGTGGAAGGCAGTAATCAATTCAGTGTAGTGCAAATTGCTTTTTAAAAATGTCACATTAGTTTAATAGTTGTCTTTTCTAGCCATTACATTAGTCCCCACTGGTCTCCAGCTACCTAAACAGCAGACATATGGCCTTGCAAATCATCAACAGCTGTGGAACTAATAAAAGAGAAAGAATGTTTTTCCACACTATGGAGTGAGAGCCCAATGATGATAGTTTGGAGAAACTGTGGCATTGCTGTGGGAAAATTGTGGTAAGGTGTAACCTGAGGCTTCTTGCATTTGTGCTGGCCACAGTTATAGGGTTTGCTTGCCAGGTGATTGAAGGAGAAGCAGACTCTTAACTGCTCTGAAACAAACCTTGCTGGATGATTGAGGAAACCAGAGGCTTCTTGCATCTGTATTGCTAAACTGAAGCCAGGGCTTTTACTACTTTGACTCAATAAGGAATTTTGTTTTGCTGTTAATTTGATTTGGGAGTGCTGGACTAAACCTGGACTTGCATTGTGAAATATTCTTTTCCTCCCCTACTTCCCAGCCTATTTCCCTAATAAACCCTATTCTTGTTATCACAACTGTATATAAAGTCTTTGAGTCAGCAATGAATATAGAACCCCGAGATTGATTTATGTAGATGTGGGAGCACGATGAGTGGTGTGTCAGACCTAACAGCTATCTGTTTGCTGCTATGGATATTTTTGATGGGGACTATTCCCTTTTATGAAGTGGATAGAAGTCAGACTTGGCTATCCCCACGTTGTATCTGTTATCTATACATAGGCTAAAAAGCAAAGTCATCACTTTAACAACTCAAGCTATAATCTTTCAGTCACCTCATATGCACAGAAGAATTTAATGAAACTGTGTGACTAAGAGCCTGTGGTGATGAAGGAAGAAGTTCAAGCTGCTCTGAAAGAACTGACAAAAAACAAGACCCCAGAAATTGATGACATACTGATTGACATATTTCAACAAATAGACACTGCCAAGTTGTGCCAAGAAATGTGGAGGACAGAAATCTGGAGGACAGCCATCTGGCCAACTGACTGGAAGAGATCTATATTTGTTTCCATTCCAAAGAAAGTTGATCCAACAGAGTACAGAAATTAGTGAACAGTATCATTGATAACACATGCAAGCAAGATTCTGCTGAAGATTATCCAAAAATGACTGGAACAGCACATCAGCAGAGAACTGCCTGAAGTGAAGGCTGGGTTTAGAAGAAGCTGTGGTAGAAGGGATATTTTAGCTAATGTCAGATGGATCTTGGCTGAAGCAGAGTCCCAGAGGAATGTCTATACTTCATTGACTATGCAAAGGCATTTTACTATTTAGATCACAACAAACTTTGGCTGACTCTGAGAAGAATGGGAATCCCAGAACACTTGATTGTGCTTATGAGAAACCTATACTTGGAACAGGAGGTAGTCATCAGAACAGAGCAAGGAAACCCTGCATGATTCAAAATTGGGAAAGGTGTATGTCAGAATATGTCCTATCTCCTATCTTTTCAATCTACATGCAGAATAGATTATCCAGGAGGCTGGGCTCTATGAGGAGAAATGTGGCATCAGGATTGGAAGTAGACTCATCTGTTTTACATAAAGTCTAAGTGAATCAGAACCAACTTGACAGCACATAACAACAGTAATAACACCATAGAAGCCATACGAGTAATGATTGAGCATCATAGCATTATGAGTTTATATGAGCCATTAAAAAAAAAACACATCAATTAAACAAAAGCTATTAAAATCCTCTTTAATGATGCTGCCACTTCCAAGGGAGCTCTGGTACCTTGATGCTAAGAAGTTGTGCTGCCAAGCCAGAAGCAGGCAGTTTAAATCCACCAACTGCTTCATGTGAGAAAGGTGGGCACACTCTCCTCCCACATGATTTGCCGCCTCTGAAAACACTGAAGAGTCAACTATGAATCAGTTCCAATTCAACTGTCCATAAAACAACCCCCTTCCAGACTCTGTTGTAAGGTAATAATTTTAAAGATGTAAAGATTTAGAATTCAGTACAATAATAAAGGAAGCTCTGATGGCCTAGGGGATAAGGAGTTGCACTACCAACTCAAAAGAAAGCAGTTTGAATTCACGAGGTTGTTTCGTGGGAGAAAGATGAGCAATTTTTTTATGCAGTTTACAGCCTCTGAAAATTCACAAGAGGGTCAATCATGAGTGAGTTCTGACTCAGCAGAGACTGACTCAATGAGAT